CTGTCTTTTCGAGGCTTATATACAAGGCCAAAGACGTTTCCATGCTGCCCAAGCACAGTGCTCTCAGTGTGTGAGAGCTGCTAACTTCCAGCCCTTGCCACGACCTGTATGCATCACACTGCCTCCCTCACACCAGCAAAGGAAGCTATACCTAAGTGAGAGTTGGACGTGTTAAGACGTCTTTAGCTTGAAAAAGGAAATATTGTGAAAGAAAAGAGAATGAATGCTCTATATGGAATGTGCACTAGGCAGGGCCAAAAGACTAAAATCTGGACTAGGGACATTTTCGTTAGGGGAGAGCTTTCAAATAAAAATACTAAAATTAATCATCACTATGGAAAGAGAATTTTCTATCTTCCTGGCAAGCAGATAGTTAGAACAAAATAATTTTGCTGGTGGCACCTTAGGCTGTGTATGTGTGCTGTCACATGTGTGTCGCACACCACACGTGAGGAGCCCCAAATGTGTCAGAAGAAAGTCTGGACCCAAGCGTGCTAACACCAACCACCCCATGTTCCCATTCCTTCACGGGAATCTACTAACTGCCCCTTTATCAGCCCAGAAGGTTCCCATGAGCAGGCATGCTGGAGTTTACCATTTGTAATAAGGACTGAAAAAAAAATGAAGGGAACAACAGAATGAATAGTAAAGGGTAGACTCACTAAGTCTCTTAAAAAGGATACTTTGAGCTCATGAGAGAGCAGGAAATTAATAAAGTTAACTTTCAGCAAAGCAATACCACAAACTGTTAGAATATGAAGAAAAAAGAAACATGTTAACAACAAATCACAGATCACCTTCATGGCTCCTACACAGTTTTACATTTTCTGGAATTGGCCATTTTGAAGAATGGCTGATCATTTCTACGATCATCTTACCTTCACAAATTATATAAAGCCTTTTTGGGGGGGGAGTTCATTTTTTTAATTTTTTTTTATTAAGTCATTTGTACATATATCAGGAATACATTTATGCCATTGTGAGATTCAATATGTTGATTATTTGTACAAATTGGAGTGCTTACATCCTACTAATCAACATAGCCTCACCTCATTTACCCAACTGCAGCGTTAAGACATTTGTGTTCTACACCTCATAGATCCAACTTGTACTTAAAATATGCTCCATAGGTGTGGTCCCCCTACTAACTCTCCCTCCCTTCTCCTCTCCCTCCTTCATCCTAGGCTATAGTTGTGTTTCATTTTTCATATGCAAATGTGAGTGATTATAATTTGGTTTCACAGTAGTACTGAGTACATTGGATATTCTTTTTTCCATTCCTGAGATACCTTACTAAGAAGAGTATTTTCTAGCTCCATTCATGTAAACATAAAAGAGGTAAAGTCTCCATTTTTTTAATGCTGCATAGTATTCCATAGTATACATATACTACAATTTATTAATCCATTCATGGGTCTATGGGCACTTGGGCTTCTTCCATGACTTGGCAATTATAAATTGGGCTACAATGAACAATCTGGTACAAACATCTTTATTGTCAAATTATTTTTGGTCCTTTGGATATACACCTTGAAGAGGAATTGCAGGATCAAACGGCAGGTCTACATTTAGATCGATGAGTGTTCTCCAAACTTCCTTCCAAAAGGAACTTACTAGATTACATTCCCACCAGCAGTGCAGAAGTGTTCCCTTTTTTCCACATCCATGCCAACATCTGTAGTTTGGGGATTTTGTGATGTGGGCTACTCTTACTGGAGTTAGATGGTATCTCAGAGTAGTTTTGATTTGCATTTCTCTGATGATTAATGATGATGAGCATTTTTTTCATGTCTCTGTAGGTCATGCGCCTATCCTCTTCAGGGAAGTTTCTGTTTATGTCTCTTGCCCACAATGAAATGGGATCACTTGTTTTTTTTCTTAGTAATAAGTTTGAGTTCTCTGTGGATTCTGGTTATTAGACCTTTGTCAGAAATATAACTTGCAAAAAGTCCTCTCCCATTCTGAGGGCTATTTGCTTTAATTACTGTGTTCTTGGCAGTGCAAAAGATTTTTAATTTGATCAGATCCCAATAATGTAGTTTTGATGTTGCTTCAATTTCCTGGGGAGTCCTCCTCATAAAGTATTCTCCTGGGCCAATTTTTTCAAGTGTTTCCCCTGCAGTCTCTCTTAGAATTTTTGTAGTTTCTTAAGTTTAAGTCCTTTAACCAGTAAGAGTCAATTTTTTGTTAGAGGAGAAAGGTGTGGGTCCAGTTTCAGTCTTCTACAGGTCGCCAGCCAGTTCACCCAGCACCATTTGTTGAACAGGGAATCTTTCCCCCAAATTATATTTTTGATAGGCTTATCAAATATCAAATGACTATAAGTAACTGGGTTCACCTCTTGGTCTTCAATTCTGTTCCATACATCTACCTCTCTATTTTGTGCCAGTACTATGGTATTTTGATCAATATCGATTTATAGTATAGTCTAAAGTCTGGAAGCATGATTCCTCCAGATTTGTTTTTATTTCTGAGTAATGTCTTGGCTATTGGAGGCTTTTTCTGTTTCCATATAAAATGAAGTACTTATTTTTCCAGGTCTTTAAACTATGACAGAGGTGCTTTAATAGGAATTGAGTACCTGTATTACTTAACCTTGTCCAAAACATAGAAAAAGAAGGAATACTTCCCAACACATTCTATGAAGCAAATATCACCCTGATACCCAAACCAGGAAAAGACCCAAGAAGAAAAGAAAATTATAGACCAATATCTTTAATAAATTTTGATGTTAAAATATTCAATAAGATCCTAAGCAAACAGAATCCAACAACACATCAAACAAATTATACATCACAACCACATAGGTTTCATCCCAGGGTCCCAAGGATGGTTCAATATATGTAAATCCGTAAATAGAATATATCACATAAACAAATTAAAAAACAAAGACCATATGATTCTTTCAATTGATGCAGAAAAAGCTTTTGATAATATCCAGCATCCTTTCTTGATCAGAACACTTAATAGATATAGAAGGAACATTTCTTAAACTGACAGAGGCCATCTACAGCAAACCCACAGCCAGTATCATATTGAATGGAGTAAAATTGAAATCATTTCCACTCAGATCAGGAACCAGGCAAGGTTGCCCACTGTCTCCGCTGCTTTTTAACATTGTAATGGAAGTTTTAGCCATCGCAATCAGACAAGAGAAGGCAATCAAGGGGATCCAAATAGGACCAGAGGAGATCAAACTGTCACTCTTCACAGATGACATGATTATATACCTGGAAAACCCCAGGAATCAACTACAAAACTCCTAGAAGTGATCAAGGAATACAGCAACGTCTCAGGATACAAAATTAACACTCACAAATCTGTAGCCTTTATAAATACCAACAATAGTCGAGGGGAAAAAACAATCAAGGACTCTATTCCCTTTACAATAGTGCCAAAGAAGATGAAATATCTGGGAGCGTATCTAACTAAGGATGTGAAAGATCTCTATAAGAACTATGAAACTTTGAGAAAAGAAATAGCTGAAGATGTTAACAAATGGAAAAATATAGCATGCTTATGGCTGGGAAGAATCAACATTGTTAAAATGTCTGTATTACCTATATGAAGCTTTTCACATAGACTGTTTGCGTAGAAGTGAGGTGACTCAAACTCCAACATCTTTTATGTATAGAGGAATAAATGGGTGGACTAGAGTTTACCTGGGCAATAAGAGCTGAGCAGATGTGCTCCTTATGCTGGAATATAAAAGAACAACTTTCTTTTACATATATTACACATAAAAGTGAGCTGGAAGCACTTGTGCAACTGGTAAGATATTATAACCACTTAACATCCTTGATTTCCCACATTTTTACCAAAAAAATTGAGCCACAGAGTTCCACGGGACTTGACCAAAGTCCAAACCACCAGTTCATGGCACACCCAGACTGGAACTGAAGTCTCCACCTGCTTTATTCCCTTCCTACTAGGCAACCCTGCCTCCCACCCCATCACAAAATGACAAAGGAATTCCCGGTGTAAATTAACTTTTGTAAAGTATAATAAAAGATATGTACTTGATGTCTGCAATTTTATTACACCATCTTTATGTACACATATATAATTGAAGAAAAGAGAATCTTTTGTTGTGCATCAAAATAAAATTACATTTCCTGGTGAACTTAAGTATCAAATGAAATAAAAATTTAAATTAAATTTTTTTTAAATGTTATGGGCCCATTTGCAAATGGATGGATGGATTTGAGATCTGCCCATTTGCAAATGGATGGATGGATGTTTCTTTAGGTAGCCCTTTAGAAATCAATTGGCCTTTAAGGTTTAAAAGTATTCTTATACCATGAAAAGGGCTTTTTTTGGGACAGTCTCACTTAGTTGCCCTGGGAAGAGTGCCATGGAATCATGGATTATAGTAAAACCTCAAACTCATGGGTTCAAGGGATCCTCTTGCCTCAGCCTCCTGAGGAGTAGGTGTAACTCCAGGTGCCCATCACAACGTTTAGCTTTTTCTTTTTCTTTTATTTTTAGTAGAGATGGTAGCTTGCTCTTGCTCATCCTGGTTTCAAAATCCTGCCATGGCCTCCCAGAGTGCTGGGATTACAGGTGTGAGCCCCACACACAGCCTGGACAGGGCTTCTTCTTTAGTCATCTGGTCTGAACATCAAGTTTATACGCATGGGCCATAATAAACACTGATATATCCATGGTAAAAATTCATTTGTTTAACAAAAACAAAGTATTACATACTATACCATGGAGCCTAACAGATCTTAGAAGGTCATGTAAAATCAAAATTATTTAAATAAAAAGTTTAAAACTCCATTTAGTCCATCAGTTCACATTTAGTCTCTCTGTTCACAGAAGGACCTTGGTGTGTCCTAATCACTGGGCTCTTGGGTATAATAAACAGCCTGGGACCCACAGTGCCAGCACTTTTAGTGAGGCAAGTGCCACTCACCAAACACTTCCCAAAGGGAGCACACAGGTACATGTATGACTTGGACTCTCTAGAGCAGCTTAGCTCCTGTACCCTAACTTACCTCACATGATAATCTGTTGCTGGTCTAAGATCTTTCAGGTTACATTCTAATTCTTCTCCACTGCAAAGAAAAATCATTAGTATTAGTATTAGTTGAAAATACCAGTTTCAAAAGCAAAACATTTAACATTTGGGTTGTTAGTAATATAATAATTCAAGAACTATTATGTCTAACTCTCCCAAAAGCAGAAATAAAATTTCTTGCTTAGTATTGTTATTAGTTTTGGACTGGAAAATCAGATTCCTTTTAATGTCATCCTAGGTCTAAAAAGTGGCACGGTTAACTACCAATAAAATTCTGGAAGGTCTTATCACTTCATAAAAGTAAATAAGTAGGCGAATGAATGAATGAATGAACAAATGAAGGTAGCTCTCTGAGCGACCCTTGCAGGAACCTCTTCTACTGCAACTCTGGACTCTCCTGATGAAATCATAACATGCTTCCTTCACCTACCAACACACCCAGCTCTATCACACGGAAGAACACCATTATGTGATCAAAAGTTGTAAATGAACCTCGACGCAAATCATGAAGAAGCAACCAACAAGAATAAAAAATATGCCATTAAAAATTTTCAAAAAAGTGAGAGAGGTGTGTATGGCTTATTTTATATTCTTCAAAAATGTCAGGATCACAAAAGAGAAATAAATCTTGTGTAGGTGTCCCAAATTAAAGAGGCTGAACTACTAATGGCAGCATCTGACCTAGACCAGGGCCTGTGCTGGAAGGCAAGAAAAATGCTGTAACATTTTTCAAGATAACATTCATTATTTAGATCAACTGACAAGACTGGAATATAGACAATGGAAAATAGACAATGGATTAGATGATAGTATCAATGTAAGTTTACAAAGTCAATAACTGCACTGTAGTTGGTGAAGAATACTCTCTTTCATGGAAAATACACTGAATTACTTACCAATAGGAAACCATGACACATAAAACTCATGAGAAAAATTACAGATTAAGAGAACAGAAAAAGGGAGACAGGAAGGGGTTCAAATGATAAAGAAAACAAGTATAAAATTAGTAACAGGTGAATCTGGGTAGGGTATATACACTTATTCCTTGATCTATTTTTGCAACATTTTAAAAGTTTGAAATTATTCCAAATAAAGTTTTTTCAAAAGCTACAAACTAGAAGCTCTATCCACATCTGGCCTAAAGCTCTGTTGTTTGACATAGATTGTAATTTAGAAAAAATTTTGCATTTGCAGAATTTGTTTAATGATAGGAAAGTTTGTGTAATTGAGATTTTCAGTATCTCTTCAAAAAAAAAAAAAAAAAATCCAAAGAATCAGCAAATCCAGACAACAACCTACCCAGGCAGTGGTGACTGCTTCCTTCAGATTAGTGGTCCCCAACCTTTTTGGCACCAAGGACTGGTTTCATGGAAGACAATTTTTCCATAATGGGGTGGGCATTAGATTCTCCTAAGAAGCTCATGAGCTGGATCCCTGCCATGTGTAGCTCACCGTAGGGTCTGTGTTCCTATGAGAATCCAATGCTGCCTCTCCTATGACAGGAGGTGGAGCTCAGGCCATGATGGGAGTTTTGGGGAGCAGCTGAAAATGCAGGTGAAGCTCCTCTCATTCACCTGCTGTGAGGCCTGGCTCCTAAGAGGCCACAGCCTGGGGGCTGGGGACTGCAGCTGTAGACGGCAGCAAATAGCAGCATTCCTCTTCACCCCATTTCCAACCTTTCCACTTTTGACCTCTGCTATTTGCCTAGCCCTTTTGAGTGCTTGTTGTATACACAGGTTTTACATCCTGGGAATACTGTATTTTCTATTTTCTATTTGCGTTGTTCAAGGTTCTTGCCAGGGATGAGGGAGATGGCTCTATTTCTCTAAGGTCTCTACTAATTCTGATTTTTCAAACTATAATGTGATGGGTGTGAGCTGGAGTCAGGAGTTGGGATTTTACTCTAGGTACAGTGGGGAGTCAGTGGAGTGTCCCTGCAGGGCAGTGCTCTAGTCTGACCTCTGTCTCTACTGTGTGGAGCCCATGCTGCAGGGGAGCAATGTGGAGGGCGCAGACCCTGGGCAGACTGTTGCAGGCATCCAAAGAAGAGGCACTGGGGGCCGTCTGCACAGAGGGCACAATGCCAAGGGCTTTCCTTGTCAGGGACAAAACCATCTATGGAGCAGGGTGGGAGGCACAGGTTGGCAGAACTGCAGTAGGAGGGAAACACAGGGCAAACAAACGTCTCGGGCACAGAAAGAAGCAAGGTCTATACAGCCACATTACCCCGGGTGTGGGCAGGGACAGGAGGGGCCACTCACAGAAAGCTCAAACAAGTGGTTCACACAAAAGTGACTTTCTGGTTCCAGCTCTGCACATCTGAGTACTGCCCAGTACTCCTAATGAGGGAGAAAGATTTGACCCTGAAATTCTTAATTGCATTTAGAACAGATATAAATTGTCTGAATGGTCAACTCCTGGGAGTCCATAAAGCAGATAGGGAGAGTCCCTTATTCTGTTAACTAAACTGTTGGCCATTTAAGAAAGCCTCATAATGAAATGTTTTAAAATACTCTTTATTACAGGCTGGGAAGCAATTGTGGAGGATAATGAGGAGGGTGAAGTGGAGGAAACTATAGTGTAGAACTTTTAAAAACAGGACTAGAAAGAGCTGGATTTGAAAGTAAGAGGTAATCATATGGTGTCTAATGTATGCAAAAACTAAGAGTCAGCCAGTTTTCACTCTGATAAATATTAATGAAAAATGTTCACTACACTGACAGCAAACACAGTCAGGTGATAAACATCACCAATATCAATACCACCATGCACTACTCTGTTGTTAATTAATACTTACTCTGGACAAGATTAATCCTTGACATCATAACAATTACTAACTCTTAAGTTGAACTATTTAAAAGAAAATTTTCAAAGCCTATAGATGTTTCCTTTGTTTTCTATTTTCTTTCTTTCTTTTTTTTTTTTTTGCAGTTTCTGGCTGGGGCTGGGTTTGAACCCACCACCTCCAGCATATGGGGCTGGTGCCCTACTCCATTGAGCCACAGGCACCACCCTATTTCCTATTTTCTTTAACAACTCTAATTTCACAACCTAGCAACAAAGTAAACACTGGAAACACACACTACCTGTAAATTATCTTGTATTTCCCATCTCGTCCTTTGTCTGATAAGGCAACCTCGTAAATGCAGGGGAAGGAAAGGCCACTGTGCGGCCCACAGGAGAGTCCGGCAGGGGGAGCCCAGGACAGCACAACAGCTCGCGCCTGGACATTAGAAACCTGAGGAGGAAACACACAGGACAAAGAGTTCAAATCTACTCCACATGGTCAGACGTGACTTTACCTGCAACACATTTTTATTAACAGCGGCACTAAACTAACTCAGAATATATTCAAGGTCAACAATTTTACTTATAATGAAACACACCCTATCTGGTGTTCCCTGGTCAAAATCTAATGTCAAAAGTAATAGCTCCCACAAGCAGCTATCCTTACAATGTAAACTTTATCCAAGTCCAGCGCAATCTACCATAGTCCTCCAGAGAGGAAAGGCATCAGTCATGCACAGGGGCATGTTGTAAAGGCAAAAGCTGAAGGGGAGACTTCAGTGATCTCTGTGATGGCCCCCACAGGACATGGCAGGAGCCACTCTCCATGGGGACCTTCTGGTGGCCTTCAAGCCTTGCCTGGTGTTGAGTCATTCTTCAACACTGATACCCTTCAGACCTGCAGATTCCCAAGGGAGCCCAACAGCAGGGGAACTGGCACCAAGGACCAGGCTAACCCAGGACAGTGTGTAGAAATGGAGCTATTTCTTGTCCTCAAGTCTGCTTTTATCTTCCTGGTTTAGCCTGTGTGTAAGACTTCATTTGGACAAAAGACTGGGACTTAAAATATCCTAACTTTCTTACCCATCTCGAGAACTACTCTGAGGCATATTCAAAAATCCACATCGTCTCCCAGAAATCCTTACACGGACTGAGCCCAGCTGCCCGGAGCAGTGACCCGCTCATTCACAGACCCTGCACTGGCTTCCTCCCCCTTCCCAACTCGGCCCTAGTCCCCAGCTGGGGCTGCTGGGTCACCTTCCCAAAGAAACTATCTGTACTCAAATCTCTGATTCAGAGTCTGTTTCTGGAGAAACTCACCTGAAAGTATGGTCTAATTCTTTAAAGTAAATCTAATGACAAAACTTTAATGTTCTAATTTTTTAAAGGTTATTCTAATTGCTAACTGGATGTTGGTCTGAATAATATTAAAACCAAAGAAGAGTTAATACAGATGCTAAAGCTTAACGTTCACAAAGATTTTACAGCTGCAGATTATTGGGCTGTCAATGGAGATGGGAAATTATTCAGTCCCTGTCTATTTTTCCTTCTTCCATTTTTGTCACTGTGCAATCTACATAAAGAGTATTACAAATAATAAATACAGAAAATGAATGCTGAGTTTCCTTTTCAGTACACCATCCTTTACATCTTTAGCATACATCCTGCCATCCCGACACAGCTTCATGATACATTCAGCCCATTACTCAGCTGACTTCCTACTCATCCTTCAAGACCCCAACCAAGCCTCTACTTCCCACTCATCATCTCCCCTCCGTGTTCTACAGAGCCATGGAGGCACTGTTGTCACCATTAGTCACACCTACAGCCTTTGTCTCCTTCCCCTGTGGGCAGTCCCTAAGGACAGGGACTGTGAGTGATGGTGGCTTAGTAAATATTTACTGAATAAAAAATAAAATTCAAAGGGAGTGAGACAGGCTGAGTTTCTTGCACAGGTGACATGGTGAACGGGAGCTATTATATAACTCTCTTTAAAACATCTGAGGAGAAGCTGCTACAGAACCAGGCTCTACCCTTTCTGCTGGGGCTGCAGCTGTGACCACCCTCCAGGATACTGTCCTATTGTACCCTTGGGATTTAGCTTTCAACTTTCCCGCTTTCTTGACATTAACAAACTTCTTTTAGACCCACTTCAAATGCTGCCTTTGTTTATTCACTTAAACATCACACACAATGACAGAGGATGAAGAAGACAGACTTTTAGCCTCACAGAACCTCAGCCTAAGACCCTCAGATTCCTAAGCCTGTGTCAAGAACATTTCTGTACTGTTCTTCCTGATGCCCTGGTCAGAATCCATCACTACTTTTCTCTGTGCTCTGGCCACACTTTCCTGGTAACTACATCTGGTGCTTCTTCCTTACATGGAGCAATGTGTGGTTATGTGTCTCTTGTTAGCCTACCTAGATTAACAGACAGCATGTTTTACATAAACTCATTCATATATCGTGAATGAGTGATCCTGGAGGATTGAGAAGTAGATTTTATTTTTAATGTAGGAGATATTTTGCTGCGAAGAGTTCAGTTTAAAAGGATGCTGATTAAGTAGTAGGAAATACTCAGTAAGATAAATGGCTGTTTTGCTCAATTCCAAGAGCACAGTATGCAAGAATGCTGATCTGTGAATGGTGGTGTGAAACAGCAGCATGTCTCAAAGTGGCTCAGTTAGATGAGCACTCTAGATACCAAACAAGCCTCCATAAATTCATATCCCTTTAGATGCTGCCTTTTAGTTCAACTACTACAGATTTAATTTTTTCCTTTAGGACTTGGTTAATTTTTATTTAACTGGAGATGTTAAATACTTGAAGCATCAACTAAAATAACATTCATGCTTTCCACAAGCAAGGCTTCAGGAACAGAACTGTCATCTGAACAGAGGGGTGTGTGGAAGTGTGTTCTCTCCATACACCAGTCTATGAGAAATGCACGCTGAGAACACAGCATCATCTTCAAAGGGCAGCAGCTTCTGCAGATTCTACCTCAATCTAAGCAGCCTGATACCCAGATTAAAACCACCTTCTAGGGCCAGATCCCTGCCTGTGCTCCTGTCCCCTCCCTCCCACTGACTCCAGGCCTCCGGTCTCCCTTCTTCAGGAGCTAGAATCCTGAGAGAAAGCCCGTGGTCTCAGGAACTCTCTTTCCTTCATTCCAAGGACAACTTCAGAAAATGGCAGTGTCTTTTAAGACAATGTCATGTGAAAATGAGTCCTCAGAGCCAGACCTATTGCCTCCAAGTGTCCTGGGAGGTAACGCCTCAGTGAGAGACTCAGACGCCCAGGAACACCTTCTGGGTTCCAGCCTATCTGAAAGAGTATGAGCTTCACTCTGCAAATCTCTTTCTCCCCAGCAGTGACTATCTAACTTAGCCAGGGCCCTTAGCTAACCTGATCATCACAGTGATATCATAGCTACTGTCTGCCTACCCCCCCCCCTCCAAATTTAGAAGCCTTAAAACTGACTTTCTGATTTTTGTTGATACACCATAACTAGAAGTCAATGTCCTTTATAATGGTGATAAAAGGAGTGATTTCTAGCTACAAAATTATTAGACAAGGTAGAGCCTGACATTTGTTTTACACTGGCAATATAAAAGTGTTGTTGTTAGGCTACAAGTACAGGATAAGTTAGCATGTGACTTATTTAAAGTAAACTGCTTTTAAGTACCTTGAAGGACTCACAAAATCAGCACCTTACACACTGATTAGAAATCATTCCGGTCTATGTGTTTATTAAGTACGGATGGCAACTTTGACAGCAGTTGTTATGTATGTGGATGTATGGGTGTGTGTTTATATACACATATATATGTCAAAATACAACTGCATTATCTTATAACTATTTGATATTTAATCCTTAGCTCTCCTTTTCCTTGTGGCTTCTCTCCTGTTCACCCTAGTATTTTAACACTATGCTATACAATTTTGTGATTTTTATCTAAGAATTTATTATGTGCAAATGATATTCATTTTGGATCATGAAACATCACTCATTCTCATAGTTACCAAATTGTTACTCTCATATTCAAAATCACTTCTCTGCATGTTAGTAACTTCTAAATTTGGTCTGGACTTTAGACTTAACTATGTAAGAGGTCCACAGAGCTAATTAAGGAATGCACTAAAAAAATATTAGCTTAGAAATACTGGCTTTACTTCTAAAGCATTAGAAGTGAACAGCACCTGGTGGGCAATAATGTCACAAAGGAAAATAAATGAAAAAGGAAAAGGTCAAAGAACTGGGAGACTCACACACAGAACTTTCTCAGTCACCTACTTCTGTCACAGCTTAGGTGCCAATGCCCCGTCTGCTCCCACAGGCACAGCTGTGTATCTTTCAAGGACTGCCTCCAGCAGGGGAGTGCTCTCTTGGGCCAGTTGACTCGCTGTTTCAACAACTAAACACTAGTGGACAGAAACAATGCAGAACCACAACTGCGGGTTTCATTTATTTATATCCTGAAAATGAACAGCCCCCCAGTATACGGGAGGCTCTATCGGAGAAGATGAGACCATGTTAGGCTGGAGGCAACTAGTTAATTCTAAAGCCTCTGACAACAGTGTCAAGTGTGTTCCTCCAGAGAGGGGCAATAGCAGCAAAGTCTCCAGGCATCTACCTACTGCAGCCTCAAGACAAATACTCAGTGTGTATGCACTGTTTTTAATGGAATTACGCGGAAAAGAAACTATGTATCTGGGTCTCTGAAGAGTAAACAACTTGCTCAGTTAAGCTTGCCCAAAGTTCTCGACAGGTGGCCGGAGCCCACAGTGCTAGCTGTTCTGTATTAGATCAGATCACTTGCAAAACCTCAAGAAAATTAGATGCCTTTTATTTAGAGGCACTACCAGGTATGGCTGAAAGGAAAAAAAAGTTAGAATAACAATCTTTTCTACAGTTGTGTTCCCGAGTTTCTGCCCCCTTCTCATTTCAGAGTGTTGGAGGGAATTTCACTTTTGCTTAATGATATGCTACAAACTGTAGAGAAATACTCCATTCCAAGTATCTTACGGACAGCATATAATTTGCTTTTCACATAATCCTATGTGGTATTTATTATTTTACCTTTCAAAGGGGAGGATACTGAGGCACAGTGAGGTTATTTGACTTAGCCAAGGCCACAAAGACAGTAGCCGGGCCAGGTCCTGACCCACAGTGCCAGACTGCAAAGCCTGGGCCTTCCATCTGGAGTGCCAGATCCTGGCTACACCCACTGAAACCAGGCACACATTTATTCTGTAAACATTTGTGAAGGGTTCACTTTGTGCCAAGGACAGAGCTAGATATTAGACACACATAAATACAACACAATCACAAATAACTTGAGAGAGAAAAAGAGTAGGAGGAGGAGGCAGAAAAACTACTATGGAAGCAACTAGTCAGGCTGGGAAGGAAGAGTGGGCTGTCTGCAGGCAGGAGGGCTCCCTGAGGAGCCGGCAGTGTGGTGGGCAAAGCAATGGCCCCACAAGGATGTCCACAGCTCATCCTTGGAACCGTGAATGTGCTACCTCCCATGGCCAAAGAGACTTGGCAGGTGTGATTAAGTGAAAGCTCTAGCCAGGTAGAGATCATCCTGCACCACATCCAGATGTGCCCAGCATGATGACAAGGGTCCTCATCAGTGAAAGAGGCAGGAGAGTCAGAGAGGGCCATGTGGCAGTGGGAGCAGAACTGAAGGGCAAGGAGAGCCAGCTGCATGGGGGGCAGAGTCCCCTCCAGAAGCTAGAGGAGACGAGGACGCAGATCATCCCCCAAAGCCTCAGAAAGTAGTGGAGTGCTGCCAACACCCACCGTTAGCCCAGCCAGACACATTTGGGACTTTCTGGCCTCTAGAACTTTCTCGTTGTTTTGTTTTCAGCCACTCAATTTATGGTGACTGGTTCCAGCTGCAGGACACAAACACAGGTGACAGGAGACAGCTGCCTGAGTTATGTGCAGAGCAGACACGCACAGCTGCATGAAGATGCCCTTGTCTGGGAATTTTCAGCCGAGGCAGCCTTGACAGGCCTGAGCTGCCACCAGGACCCAGGCCCAGAGGGTGGTCACCCAGGTCACCAGCCGCGTGATGAAGCAGCTGTGTCCAGAGACACCTGCGTCTTATCAGACAGCTTTCATCAGACTGCTTGAAAGGGATGCAAGTCTAAGTCTCAATGCTAAAAGGAACATTAGCTATAAATGCTGATCTATAGGTCTTTAATAACTCTGGAGTTTACTGCTCTGCTCACAGAGCAGAACTGACCACTCTGGCTTTATAATAATAAGGAAAGACCTTGGCTATATTCACTACATTCTTACCCATCTAAACCGTGCTAACAGGGAAATGTCACCCTTTGACTGAATTTCTAAGCCAAAAGCCATTTTGGATGTTTAGATGAGGGTAAGGAAAGCATGGCATCCAGGCAAGCTGGCTGACCCTGCAGACAGGCCACTACCTCGTGGCATTTCTCTGAGTGAATTCTCCAGGCCTGGTTCCCTGTGCAGTAGACTCAGAAACTCAGTCTAGGTGGAACTGCAGAGTCAAACAGACTCACGGATGTTAAAGCAAACTATAACACTTATAGAACTGACATATGAAATCAGATCACCAATTAACTACTTTATAATGAGATAAAATCATCCGGTAGATCAGATAACACCATCACCCTGCCTCATGTACTCTGTTGGCCATCATGAAGTAGAATTCTCAGGAGGCTACTGTGTGGACACCAAATGAGGACAGGGGAGTTAGCACACAATTCAAGGGCTAAGGCCCCTGGGCTCTTGAGAACCATCTCTCCGTGATGGGGACAGAACTGCCTGGCCAGGCTGGGGTGGGTGGAGTCAGCATCCACCAGCTTTCTGCAGCCAAGCAGTACGGTTCCTAAATCCTAAATGATAGAGATGAAAGTTCTTAGATGACATAGTTGCTATGTGTTACACCTCACACCACAGCTACTTACAAAAGCCTGTCTACTCTGCTCTTAGAACTGTAGAGATCAAGTGCTTAATAAACGCTGAGTCAGTCAGAAAAAAGGCCCAACGCATCTGAACACGGCTTTTGTGCAGCTGGAGCACAGCAACCTGAAGGAACGGGGAGATTCTGCTGGTTCTGCAGGAGAGAAGTGACCAGCAGGGTCTGAAGAAAAGCCCTATGTGCACAAGTGACAGACATGGCAATGGCTTGGGACAACAGCTATCATGCTGCTCTGCCATCTCTGTGATCACCGCTCTCCGTCTCCCTCATGGATTTTTCTTCTTTCTACAACACTTTGAATATAAGCTTCATCCATGATTCTGCCCCCAAGCCTTTCTGAATCTCTCCCTATATTCCACCCCTCCCTGTCCGAGAAGCTGCCACCCCTTTTCCAGTTTCCAGGACCATTCCTGTGTGTGGTCTGGAGTCAGCACCTGTCCCCCTCTGCACAGCACTGACTTACCAGACTGTGAGTGACTGCAATGTTTTTCTGGACGCACACGTCCACGGATGACACTGTAGACAGTGAGGACATACACGTGGCCCTGTTCTACAGGAACCAAAGCTCCTGGGACGGTCATAGAAGGGGGTAAATGGAGTGAGGGCACAGGCCAGCACAGCAGGGAGGGGAGAACACAGCAGGACCGAGCAGTAGCGGCGCTGTGCATGGAGGGGGCAGCCCCGCAGAGCGGCATGGACAGCGACTGGGGAGATGCCTCAGAGCAGGGCGCCCACGGCAGCCAGCCCGCGACGTGTGCTGATGAGTGAGGACTGGTTTGCTTATCTGTGTATAGACCTTTTCATTCACTCACCAGCTGTTGTTAGCGTTGGTGTATTTAACGTGTGGCCCAAGGCAACTTTTATTCTTTCACTTTGTGAAAGAGAGGAAAAAAGGCTGGACACCCCTGTCTTAAAGCAAGCAATTCCCAAGAGGAGGCACAGAAACTTGGAGGCCCATTCACCGTGGCTGCTCAGCGCCTAAGAGGTGACAGAGCCTTACGGATCTGTTCTGTGAACAGCTACACCAACTGCTACCACCAGACCACAGCAGTAGATAATCAGCATTTCTCTCCCAAGGTCCACGCTCTTGTCACTCTAACTCGTTTCCCAAGTGTTTGATCATTCCGAAAATTCAGCCATTATAATAAAAGTTTTTTTGCTCAAAACCCCTCAAATGCAGCCTATTCCCCACCCTACTCCTCTACAAGTGCCTATTAAGCCCATCCTCCTCCACACCTCATGCTTTTAGGTCTACCCAAAAGAGCAACTATGAACACTGAGGCATATTCGGGCTCTTCTATTAAAAAGCGTCAGTGTTTGAAACACTTGAAGAATCAAGGTTTTCTAGCTCAGCTAGAAAATACTCCATAGGACTTTGGCTCTCTAATCTCATATGAAAGGCTGAATCAACATTCTGAATTTTTCACTTAAATTTCAGAACACCTGGCAAATTCAAACTAATGCCTCACAATCAGTACTGTTACTCCCAATGATTTTATTTTTCATGCAATTGCAACCAATGTTTTGGACTTATTTTTCTCAGGTAATATTTAAATATCTTTTTGAAATTTACCAGAAAAAATATTAGAATTATTGAGGTTTTAAAAAACTACTACTACTACATTTACACAGGTTAAGAAATATATCAAAATTGTTCTGTAGACCCAAGAAAAGGGGGAGAAAAATGAATCCTTGAAAGTCAGAAAGCCTAACCACATTCCAAATTCCTCCATGAAGATGCTTCAGTGGGGAACGGACCCTCTGCTTACCCAATGTGTGGTGAAAATAACGCACCTCTGAAATTCTTAAGAAAGTGTTGCTCATGGTGAGAAATTCAGAAGACATACCTGTGGTTTCTCTATTCCAGAAAGAATGTCCTGCACCCTCTTTACTTCCAACTCGTACTCTGCAATGCAAAAAAGAAAAAAGGAAAAACAATACCATTAGAAGACAATAAGGTTGTCAAATTCTTTCCCAAGTCCTTTTAACTAGGGTTATCATCAAACCAGTCACCTGTTATCCCCACAAACATGATAGAAGAAATTTGGGAATGAGGATGTCTTTGAGGCAGGAGTTTTGGTGTGGTCCTCAGGCAGCCACTAGAGTATTTCAGTGAAAGGAATGACATGACCTTATTCTCAGTTTTACAAGATCTGTGGTTTCTGCATAAACAATGGATGTAAGCAAGGTAAGCACAGAGAAAGAGAGACCAGCTGGTTTACCAGTGCCACGGTCCAGGGGGAGAACAGAGTGGGCCGTGCTGCAGTTGATAGGAAAGATGGTGAGAAAGGACTAGTTTTGGTGATGTAGGTGCTGGAGGACTGGATGTGTTAGGGAAGGGTGAAGAAATGTGAAGAACCAAGGATAATTCCTAGATGAATGATGGTGTCTTTTAAAAAGATAGAGAAATAGCCATGTTTTAGGGTGGGGCAAGAATTAGGTTTTAGAAATGGAAGGGGGGAAGTGCTTTGAGTAGAGAAGATGGGGTGGGAAGGATGTGTACAAAAAAGGTAAATGGTAAGATTTAAACTTAAGAATCCACAACTTATTAGAGTAGCCTCCTCCTCACAAGGGACTTAATGGGATTTAATCTTGAGTTTAAAGTAGATTCCACTTAACTGTTCAACCCATGAAATAAATGCTGGAGAGTGATGACTGCCAAGACCTACCTTTTTCTAAAACATTTCAAATGTAGGGCCACGTGGAGGGAGGAAAGGAAATGGGTCATTACAATGCCATGTTGGCAGGTGCTACAGTAAAGGTCATCAGAAAGAGGATTTGAGAAGGAAGCCCCAGGAGCCAATGTCTAGCTGAGCCCTGCAGATAAGCAGGCACTTGGAGGAGAATGCAGAGGACCCAGGGAAGAGTGGACTGGCAAGCTGGCTTCACAGGGCTGTTCATCTCGGTGTCAGTGTCCAACCTTGAAGTTACCTCTTGGAAAAATCCCACCTAAACCCTGACCCTTTGCCCTCACCTCATTCTTGTCACTTTCTTATCAATTATCAAAATCTGAAAAGAATTCTCTTGTTTATTTATATGTTCTCTTGTTTATCAATTGTCTTTCCTACTAAAATATAAGCTGCAGGAAGGCAGAGATACTGCCGGTCTGGAGTAGGCATATTTTCTCCATAAAGAATTAGATAAATATGTATATTTTAAACCTTACAGGCCAAATACAGGTCTGTTACATGTTCTTCTTTGTTTTCATAACCCTTTAAAAGTGTAACAACCATCTTAGATTATGGACTGTACAAAAACAGGCTTCAGGGCAGGCGGCAGGCTGCAGGCTGCTGACCCCACAGAGAACATGGCCACCACCCACCCAGCACTAACACAGTCCCGCGGGCTCGGAGCTCAACAGATACTTCCTAACTAAAAAAGTCTGCATTAAAAATCACAAAAACTAGTTGGCACCACACTAAACTTTAAAAAGGTAAGTTCTTCATTTCCCCCCCATTGTGTTCTGTTTAGTAGGAGAACATGTTTACCATTATTCTACCAAGAAAAACAAATGGGCTGGTGGTGATATCATGGTTTTAAAAACTGCAAATTTTTAAAAGAAAACCCACATTCAAAAAAAAAAAAACCAAAGTGTCAAAGGCTCATTAGGATATAGATAATAAATTGTGTCCATAAATGAAAACTGGACATGCCCTCACATGCTCTGGAAGACCCTATTAAACAAAATGTAAAGGTAATTGTCAGTTAAAAGAAACACAAAACAAACAAATAAAAAGAATAATCAAAATAAATGAACTGGTTCAGTTGTAAAGACAAAACTGCCTCCATCTCGGACACTGGTTCCAATGACCTGAAGGAGACACTGTTTACTTCTGTCACCCACAACGCATTTAGATTACCAAGGAAGAGCAGGATCCACACCCTGTCCTTGGGGCAATAGAAGTGCAGACAGGAAGAGGAGGGATCAGCTACTCACCACTCAAAGAAGGGAAGGGTTAAGAAATCTGCAAACCCAGGGTCCTGAGGACCATGTGCTAGAATAGGGTGAGATGGGAGAGTCCCATAAACCTGGAGAGCCCCACTTCCTGCTTTCAGATATGGATGACAGAAGTAGTCATGCTTTTGATAGAAAAAGGAAAAAATGGGGAAAGAATCTAGATTAAAAGGAAAAAAGATCTATCCAACCTCGAAAAGAATTGGGTTTCAGGTAAAAGCCAGAAATGCCAGTGAAAGGTCCTGGGATAAAGACATCCTCCCCAGAGAGGTCAGGACTCCCCCTATCTGCCTGCCTCTGGTCACATCATAAAAACTGACGCCTTCTGAGTACCGATATACAGGCTGGTCTGTGCATCACCACCTGGCTAAGTTTTGTAACCTCCCTTGCAAGACAGTCATTCTCTGCTCCCCTGCGGTGGTGAGCTCACTGGAGTCTATTTGGCAGGTCACAGTTCTCGCCTGTACCTGATGCTAGGCACACGTCCTCCCAATGTCCCTGCTGACTAGGGTAAGCCAGGACTAGGAGCTCAGAGAGCAGACATGATTTTCCCAAGGCCACAGCCTCAGGCCTGGTCCCAAAGCAAGTAGAATCTTCCTCACAACAAACTAAGAGAGTCAGGGAGCCGCAAGGTGGGTGGAGAGAGAGCAGAAGGCCAAGACTGGGGGTCCTGGCCCTGATGTGGACGCAGGAAGAGAAGGCGGCACATGAGAGGCTCGAGCCCTGTGAGCCGGCTGGTGTTGATTTTGCTTTTATTTCAACATATTTAGGAGGCACAAGGACAATTCTGCAACGTGGATACACTGTTCAGCAGTAAGGTCTTGGCTTTTAGTGTAACCATCATCCAAAACTTGTACATTGTTCCCAAAAGGTAATTTTTCACTTCTTGGGTTTTTTTTTTAAATTCATAAAAAACTGTCAAATGAACAGAGCAAAGGCCATTGAAAGGGATGTGAGAAGAGGAACAAGAAAAAGTGGGCTATGAGTGAAGATAAATAAATAAAAGATTCTGAGAAAATCCAAATGGCAGGGCCGGAAGACAGAAGGTCAAGTCAGAACCGTCTACCTTGCCATCCGGTCATCACCCTGCTCTGCAGAAGCATGGTGCCACTCTGCCTTCTTTCAGAGCGCCTATTGTAAATCCAGAAAAAGAAGAGAAAAGTGCATTTCCAATACATTTGTTTAATGCTTTTCCATTTTTGCTGCCACAAATGAAAGAATAAAACCCTAAATAGATTCCAGGCATACAATTTGCACCAAACAAGTGTGAAAATAAAATCTGTTTACTGAACTAAAGCGACAGTTACTTACCACATACAAACTGTTACATGAGGGTTTAACAGTCTAGTATGAAAATGTCAAATTCCCAACTACCTAAATAATGGAGCTGACTCAGCTCTCAGCATTCCTCTTCGTAAGCAAGATTTACACGTGTCTGGGAGCAGATTGATCACCACCCTCCCCTAAAACAGCTTCAGAGCCCAGCTGTGTGGAGCACACGTGGCCAAGCTACACCAAGCTTCTGCCTGCTCCCCCCAGGCATACCCCACATTGTGAGGGAGAGGAGAGAAGGAAGGACAGCTGATCCTCTCAGAAGTGAACAAAGGAAAAATGGAAGCTGATCACTGCCTTCAGGACACCACCTTTGAATCAGGTGGAAACCATGTCAATCAGGTGGAAACCATGTCATTTGTCCCCCTGCACCCTCTTCACAACTTCATACTCAGTATGCACCAAATGAACAAAAGATTGTTCTGGAAGAAGCAGAACTGCAAGGCTCTGGAGCAAGGTCAGGACGTGTTTTTCTTCTGTCCTTCCCAGGGCTGCTGCTGCTTCTGGTTTTCAGCAAGTGAATGAGGTCAGAGACAAACCACGTCAGCAAACTTCATACTCCTTGTCCCTCACACTGACACTGCCATGAGGTAGGCAAACGAGTCAGAACGGATTTTCCACCTGTTTTGACCTTGCTGGTGGCCCCAGCTGGAATGGTTGAATGTGATAACACACAGCTTTTACATCACTGTCTTCTTAGCATCTGAAAGGCTTTTCCCTACCACAGAGACTGAGACTAGCTTATCCCAAAAAAAAAAAAAAAAAAAAAAAAAGAAAAGAAAGGCACCACAGGGCACTCTTGGACAGAGTTTCCCCTAGAGAAGTGGCATTTTATTTTGCAGATATAGGCATGTTTGAGGGAAGGAAATATTTTGAAGA